AGAAGAAAGACAGAGTGCAACAGCCCAGGTTGCTTGAGGGATTATTGGGAAAGAGGTCTGGAGGAAGTAAATATGCTTTGGAACAGGGAGGGGTCATGGATCAAACTCTAGTAAACTGTTCAGTCATGTCTGATTCTTTACAACCCTAACATTTGGGGTTTTCTTGGCAAAGATACTGGAGTTTTGTTTGCCATTTCCTTCTCTAGCTCATTTGACAGAATGAGGAAACTGAGGCAAACAGGGTCAAGTGACTAGCCCAGGGTCACACAACTAGTAAGGATCTGAAGCAGGATTTGAACTCATTTTCCTGACTCCAGACCAAGACATTCTCTCCACTGTACCACCTAGCTAGTAAACCCAATGCTGTCAACAAATCCAGAAGGCAACTCAAGAGTCATAAAACGGAGATTGGATCCCAAAGTTAGAAATCCACACAGCATAGGTAGCACTAAAGAGGCACCTGCACAAGGCGTTGATTAGTGAATGACAGTTTTTCTCAAAAGAAGTGTCTAGAAGCAAGACTGCCCTTTCCTCACTCTCCTAAATGTTCACCACTTTGGGCCTGGCAAGAAAGCTTCTTGAAGGAGGGAGGACTAAGGATAGGACGACTAAGGAAGGAGGAGGGATAAGTCAGATTTAGAGAGAAGGGAGGAATTTTCTTCATTTAAAAACAAAGGTTTCTGTTTTCTGTTTTCTTTTTCAGTGGTGGTTGGGGAAAAGCCCAGGAGGGAGAAAAAAGATGTTTTTAATTCAAAATTAAAACAAATATTTTTGAATGGATTAATATGATTTTTTTTATTTCTTATATGCCTTTCCATGGCAAATTCTGGAATTTATTTCCATTTATATTGAATAGAGGATATGGGTTTACTGAATTGTGAAGGGTCACAAGGACCCCAAAAGGTTGGGAACTCACATCACAGAGAAAATTAAAGGAAGAAAGGAAAATTAGGAAGAAAGAAAAGGTGAGAAAGTCTTGCTGGCCAACTAAACAAGAATAGTGGTATCACAAAAGGTGAAAATCGGTCTATCTCAGCACAGTCTTGTTTGTCTCCAGGGTTCCAATCTGGGCACAGCCTTTGGACTAAGTGGGGGAGGGGATCTGCAGAACAGGGAAAGTTTACTGGATTCTTCCTCTAACAGCTTGCATCTTTTCATTCCTTTATCCCTGCACTCTATCATCTCCTGCCAGAGTCAGGCTAGCCTAGCATCTAACATGTTCAGACACTTCCAGGAGCTGAGCTGGAAAAATAACAATGAAAAAGAAAACAAACAATTTGATGGAACTTTCTACAGGTTATAATTTTAAGCTGAAGGAAAATTACTTAGGGGAATGACTGCTGCTTGAGAAGCAACAAAGTGCCAGGGGCAACTTGGTATGATTGAAAGAGGACAGGCCCTAGAGTCTGAGGACTTGGGTTCAAATCCTACCTCAGATGCTGTGTGTGACCTTAGGCAAGTAACTTAACTGTTGTGGGCCTCATGTTTCCTCCTCTGTAAAATGGGGATAATATAATAGCACCAACCTTCCAAGGTTGTTTCGAGGATCAAATGAAATAATGATAATTGTAAAGTACTTACTAGGCAGCTGGGTCTGGAGTCAGGAAGACCTAAGTTCAAATCCCGCCTCAGATGCTTACTAACTGCCTAAACCTGGGCAAATCACTGAACCCTGTTTGCCTCAGTTTCCTCATCTGTAAAAATGAGTTGGAGAAGAAAATGGCAAACTCCTCCAGTATCTTTGCCCAGAAAACTCCAAATAAAGAATCAGACAACAAAAAAGCACTTAGCACAGTGCCTGTATGTGTTTTGTAAATGTTAGCTATTGTAATTGAGGATCTCATAGTATAATGTGGGAGACTACATAAATACAGAAGATACATACAGAAGCAATTGGAAATCATCTCAGAGGGGAGGCTCTAAGCCTTTATGTCCCATCCCTCTTCATTTTACCCATGAAGACTTACCCAAGATCACACAGATATCAAGTAACATAGTTGGGCCTCAGGTCCTCTGATCCCCATTCCAACACTCTTTCCAAATTGCATGTGCTTTCAGCTTCTCTGTGCCTCAGTTTCCTGATTGGTTAAGTTGGGGATAATATTTCAAGTGCCCACCTCCTAGGATTACTGTGACAGAAAGCTATGGAAATGAAAATTGAATACTGTGGACGCGGCGTTTGTGGAATGTTTACTTTGTATCGTGAACTTACCTATGTACACCTCATTTTTGTCTCCAGTAGAATGTAGGCTTCTTAAGGGTAGGTTTTGGTTTTGGCTTTTTGACTTCGTGCAATTAGCAGTCTTGCACTACGAGGCACTTAAATTCTTGTGAGGAACTGGATTAATGGATGGAATGAGATGACCTGCTTTTTGGTATGCCCAAAAGCACTAATTCATGATTGTGATTATTATTAATGGAGGAGGAACAATTTGATTTGCATTAAGGAAAAAGTATTGCAAACAGATTAGAGACCTGGGAGAGTGTTTGTGTTGCCTCTCCATCCTAGCAGTAGGAAGAGTAGTTTTTGCCTCCAACCTAAAGGTGTCTGAGTAGGGGTCAAGCAAGCGAGACAAGCTCTAGCCAATTGTTTCCTGTTTTCCTGTTTGTTTTTTTTATCGAAACAGAGGGTAGAGAGTTCAATTGAGGAAGTCTGAGTGAGTTCTCATACCTTTTTAAAGACCTAAGCACCTTTACTGAGCTCACCAGGTTTTTTTCCTCACCACCCAGACTCCAATCATTTTCCACCTGAGAGAGCACGTCTCCATGACCTCCCAGAGCCCAGTTCCTCTTCCCTACCAGGAAGAGCAAAGGACACTGTAATACTCATACCTGCTCCCTCTGTCCCTAGCCAGAAGCCATGAGCATAGCTGTGGAGAGAATTTCTTAAACGGTCTGTGACTTGTGGGGCTTTGACCTAAGATAACAAAGTAAAAAGTGATATTCCTCTGGTAATGTCACGCCTTGGATGAGATGATTTCTCACCAAAAGAGAGAGAATTCATTGAAAATAAGGTGATTTGGTTTGTTTTCCTTGACTTTTAATTTTTCTTACTCTTGGATGTTTGTAAGAAGGTGTTTTGAAAGAGGTTAAGATATCATTTAAAAAAATACGCAATCAAAAAAAAAGACTAAAAGGGTATGTGTGTGTATGCAGAATTCATAGCTAAAATCGTTGATGTATTACAGTCTCACCAAGGAAATTTTGTAACAAACGAGGTGCCCAGACTAAGTAAGTATAGAATGAAATGGCAAGAATGTTAATGGTCCCATGAAGAAGTGTGCTGCTCACTTCGTGGCAGAGAGATCGCTGATTCAAGGTGCAGAAGGAGACATACATTTTGGGGCATGACCATGTATGGATTTATTTTGCTTAATTATGCTTATTTGCTCTAAGAAGTGTGTTTTTCTTTTTTTTTTCTATGAGGGAGAGATTGGGGGAGTAGACAGCAGATGTGGATAGTATTGCCCCAAAAAAGAAAAGTCGTTGAAGCAGTTTTCAAAATTCACAGAATAGAAGGAAGTTCAAGAGGAAACAGACAAAGCAAGACAGCCTTCAAAATAACATGTTAAACTCATTATGTACTTAAAAAAACTATGTAATAGAGATTCACAGTTTCAAATAATCCTTTTTTTTTCCTCTTCTTTGAATGTGAAAATGTTTCTCTTTTTTCAGAGTTTAAAGTTCAGAACCAAAATATTAAAAAAAAAAAATTCAACTGTAGTTGACCTACAGAGCTCATTCAGGTGCTTTAGGTAATTAGACATCATTTTGACAAACAACCAGACTGCTCACTATTTTTTGGAAAATCGTGCAACCGGCTCAGAAGAACCTCTTTTCCATATAGCTCCTCCCAAGTGCTGTGAGTGTGAGTGACTAAGAAATCTAGAAGACGCAGGGTGATTTGCATAAACTTTCCCAATGACTGGGGTGAGGGAGGGAGGAGCAGGTAGGAAGAGAGAGAGCTAGGAATCATTCCAGAGTCCGGAGGAACTTTTTACTCTAGGGAGGTGGATGGTTCGAGGAAAAAAGTGGCGTTCGTATGGATAAAGTTAGGCTCTTGGGAATGTGAGTTCATTCTGCAAGGCGTGTCTAAGATCTCAGATTCTGAGAAACCCACAGAGGTAGCCTAGGAGCAGGTGGGAGCTGAGAAGAAAAGACAGTAGTTAGCTCGTTCACAGTGGTTACCGCTCCGAAGAGGCCTTGTGGGGAGGGGTCTATGGGGTTTGGGTGACCTTTTGATTCTAAATTCTCTTTACCAGATTGACTTGTAAAGAGGGGATTTTGTGTATTTAGGGGAAGGACCAGAAAGAAAGCAGAAGGATATTTAGTTTAACATTTCATTGTTACTATTTCATTGTTACTATTCTAATAAAATTTTGGGACATCACAAATTTTGACTTCTAAATAAAATACATTCTAATAAAATTTTGTGACTTCAATACCTGTCCGTATGTAAGAGGGGAGTTAAATATAGCTAGGACAAAATAGCAAACCAGCATACCCATTTTTCCAAATCTTGGAGGGGTGGGAAGGAAAAGGTATGAGGAGCAGATCCAGACAAGTGTGACAATCCTGAAAAAGGGCCTGGGTCCTTGATGCTGAGAGCGTCTCTGATCCAAAGGTTATATTTTTAAATATGGGTGCCTGAGTTTATGACTATAAATCACATTACCCAAATGATTGAAAAAAAAAAAAACTAGAGGCAATTGTGTGTATCAGAAAAAAAATGTATTTTGTTCCAATGTTTTAAGAATTAGACATTTAAAAGATATTTAAAATGAGCATTCTGGTTTCTAAAACTGGATATAGGAACAAAGGAATAAATTTCCCTGGACTTTGCCCAACTGATTTACCACAAATTCTAGATTATAGATAAGACAGAACTGTGCAATGGAAGAGGGAGGAGGGAGAGAAGAGTGAAGAATGAAGGGTGGGGACTTCCTCTTGCTAATTACATTTATACTCTACCAAGTCACACAGGTCTGGTATTTCTTCACCTTCTGTCTCCTGGAGTAGATGGAGGTAGGATGCCAGGCTCTTGCTCCAGGCAGCATAAATGCTTATGGAGGTAGGATACCAGGCTCTTGCTCCAGGCAGCATAAATGCTTAGTGACAGTTGGAGCACCCAGCCTATACCAAAATTTCCCTTAGATCAACAACATGAGGGTTGTCGTGTGAGGTTTGCTATGAGAATATCTGTCAACAAGAAGAAACTAAGGAAGAAAAAATATCCTTGTCACTGGTTTGGAATGAGAGTTGATGCACTGAGAATATCTGATTGTCATTTGTGCTTTGAAGAACGTTTCTACCTTCTAAAGGCTCAGTTTTCTGCTCATGGACTTCATTTTTCCGTAATGACTATAATGAAAAAATGCTTCTACCGAAAACAGTATATGTTGGCTTTTGTATGTCTCATGCTGTTGGCCACAGGGGTCCTGAAACTTTCTGACACCTGGAAATGTGACTTCAGTGAGTTGGGTGTGGAGTCACTGGATGTCTGGAAGGAATCCTGCAAGGATAAGCTCTATCAGTCCCTGAAACTGCTACCCAAGAACTCCATCGACTGCTCTCTGATCACCAGAGGGAATCCCGATGCTGTGGCCCAGGCAACCTTGATCAAGTTGGAGAAAAAGTTAAAAAGGGAGCCTCTGACTGAAGCTCAATATCTCAACATGACTCAGGACTGTGCTCACTTCAGGGCCAGTCAGAGGTTCATTCAGTTTCCACTGAGCAAGGAGGAGGAGGACTTCCCCATTGCATATTCAATGGTGATTCATGAGAAGATTGAAAATTTTGAGAGACTTCTAAGGGCCGTGTATGCCCCACAGAACATCTACTGCATCCATGTGGATCTGAAGTCTTCAGAAGCCTTCAAGGAGGCAGTCAGAGCCATTAGTTCATGCTTCCCAAATGTCTTTGTGGCTAAAAATCTGGTCCCAGTGGTGTATGCTTCCTGGTCCAGAGTACAAGCTGATCTGAACTGCATGGAAGAGTTGCTCCAGAGTTCTGTGCCCTGGAAATACCTTTTGAATACCTGTGGTACTGATTTTCCCATAAAGACCAATGCTGAGATGGTGAGGTCTCTCAAAGTGTTGAATGGGAAGAATAGTATGGAATCAGAAATACCCACTAATTACAAAAAAGAGCGCTGGAAATATCATTATGAGGTCAAGGATAAGATATTCTGGACCAAAACAATAAAGACGACTCCGCCCCACGGCTTGCCCATGTTCACAGGGAATGCCTATATTGTGGCTTCCCGGGACTTTATCCAACACCTCTTTAAGAACCCAGATGCTCAAAAGTTGATAGAGTGGGTGAAGGACACCTATAGCCCTGATGAACATCTCTGGGCCACTCTCCATCGGATGCCCTGGATGCCTGGCTCTGTACCCTACCATGAAAAGTACCATACCTCGGACCTAAATGCCATTGCCCGGTTTGTGAAGTGGCAAGGCTATGGTGGTGATATCAGAAAGGGGCACCCCTATCCCCTTTGCACTGGAACCTACCAGCGGGGCGTTTGTGTGTATGGGGCTGGAGACCTGCATTTTATGCTCCGAAGTCACCATCTGCTGGCCAACAAGTTTGACCCGAAGGTAGATGACAATGCACTCCAGTGCCTGGAAGAATATCTGCGATACAAAGCCATTTATGGGAGGGAGCTCTGAGAGAGAAGATGTAGCCACCGACGGGTATGAGATGCCTAAGAAACTCTTTCAAGCATGTAAGGAATGCATTAGCACAGTGTGACATGGCAGTGGAGAAATATACCCTGAACTTTTGTGACTCCCCGAGAGATGAGAGATTTCTTCTTTTGGATCAGCATTTAGCAGGACTGATACCAAGAGGTGATTTCTGCCCCATGTGATTTCTGATTATGTTATTTCCTTCTTTATCATCAGTAGGCGTGGGAGGTGGGGCAATGGTAAAGAAGAGTAGGGGGTAGGAGCAGAATGCAGAGGAGGAACACCTCCACATAAGTTACTTCCTTGTGACTGTCCTCACTCAGCTTGTCCCCAAGGGGATGATATTCTCATGGGAGAGACATGGATGAGAATTTGGATGGAGGTCAGAGTGAGGTACTGGTTTTGTCAGCTTGGTGTTGTGAAAAGAATACTAGATTGTTGGAATGCAATGGTCCGGGTTTGAGTCTTGATTCTAACACTTAATAGTTCTGTAACTGTGCATAAATGACACCCTCTCTGAGCTCCACATTCTGGGGATAATAATCCTTGCAGCATTACCTGCTGCAGAGGGATATTATAAGCCAAGTGTTTTGGAAAGTGTCCAGCACAATGTAAATGCTAGTCATTTAAGAAGGTGTAATTTAGACTCCTTGTAAGGACAACCCTTCTAAGAAATCAGTCCTTCCCAAACTCCAGGTTGGGGGTCCTCAGAGAGGGGAAGGGAAAGCTAGATCCAAGAAGTGGTAGATGGAAACAACTTTTCCCTGTCTTGTTTCATTGTTACTTTCTCCCATAAAATGCATTTCCTAATCAACTACTCTAATGCTATCAGTCTGAGAAAAGATAAAAGAAACAGAGATAAGATCAGGTTGGAGGAATTGCCCTCAAGTTAGACTTGGGGCTGTATGGTGCTGTTTGGAAACCCTTGAATTTCGGCAGGCTCTTTCCAGCCAGTCCAGGTGTGCAGGCACTTTGGGAGAGGTAAAAAAGAAAGAGAAAACTCCTTCTTTGGGCATTGAACTGTAGGCTTGGCACTTTTCTATGTGTTTACATGGCCAGATGTGTACATTTACTTCCCCATAAAGGGAAAGGAAGATAGAGTGTTATAACCTGTCTCCTTGGGGCAGCTCCTCATTGGATTTCTTAATCGGAACATGAAAGTTTGAGATCCAAACTGTCTGGTCAGGTTTTTTAGGTTGTAATCGATTTATTTTGGTGGGGAGCTGGGCCTATAAAGGGAAAGGGAGAGAGTGTGTTATAACCTGAATCCTTGGGGCAGCTCCTCATTGGATTTCTTAATCGGAACATGAAAGTTTGAGATCCAAATTGTCTGGCTGGTCTTTTAAGTTGTAACATTTGTTTTGGTGAGTGGCTGGGATGCTGCTCAATGCCTATTAAATTGTCTTTCTCCTGTGGAGACAATAGTGTACACATATTTATTTTTTGAAGTCACCCAGACAAATAATTTATTTTTTTCTGAAGCTTCAGATGATTTTAAAGACATATTAAATTCAAATCCTTTCTTAGACACTTATTAGCTTTCTTGGTGGGCAAATCACTTAACCTTGACTGTCTCAGTTTTCCTCTTCTGAAATAGGTGAAAACAACAGCTCCTACCTCACAGGGTTGTTGTGGGGATCAAATGGGATGATAAGTGTAAATCACTTTATAAATTTTAAAGTAATATATATATATATATATATAAATATATGTATAAGTTATTATTGTTACTACTGGTAATAGGCCTTTGGAGGATAATATTAATGTTGTAACATGTAAAATTTATTCTCCCTTTTATTTATGGGTATATGACATCTTTCTTTATAGTGTCAATTTTTCTAAAAAGTGATATATTTTTATATTGAATAACACATTCACCTTTATTAATATCATAATGGTGGAGGTATTTTTATTTTCACTTTGAAATGATTTTCCATTGGTAGTGACTCCCAACCCTTTAGCTTTCAGTTTCTCTACTTTCCCATTCTTGTATCCCCTAACTCTGTCCTCCAATTTCTTTTCCCCCCACTACCTTCTGTCAAGTGATTAGTTATACAATGAATATTCCCTATTGAAAATAACCATGCAATGAATGTAATGTGTATCATTGCATTAACAGCCCTCCCCCTCTTCTGCTCCCCCCAACCCAATTTATCTGTTTGTAACATTAGGGAAGAGCGGAGAGCTGGCTTTGGAGTCAAGAAGACCTGATTTGAAGTTCTGTTTTTGACACATACTGACTGTGTGACCTCATTAAGTCATGTAACTTCTGGGGTCCCAACTAGTTCTTTAGACTACAAGTTGCAGAGTCCAAATTAGGTAGAGGGAGTTTCCCTGCTAGAACCTCTCTATATCAGTGAAATCAAAGGTCCAGTAAAATGAATGAATGAATGAATGAATGAATGAATGAATGAATGAATGAATAAGAATTTATGATGGGTATTTTAAGCTGGGGCCCACCAGGGCAAAGATGACACTTCTCCCAGCAGAGTGGTCCTGGACTTTGAAGAGGACATGGACTCCAACATGGCATACTACCAGATCTAAAGTCAGAAAGACCTGAGTGGAATCCCATTTCCGACATTCACTAGCTCTATGACCCTGAACAAGAAATTTAACCTCTCACAGTCTTAGTTTCATCACCTGTAAAATAGGAGTGAAAATAATAGCACCTACATCACAGGGTGGTTGTGGGGATCAAATGGGATTGTGTATGCAAAATACTTTGCCCACTGTAAAGCACTATATAAATGTGAGTTCTTATTATTTTTGTGCAATAATGGGTGTGTGGGTTATGCAGTGCATCCTAACAACTGGGAATGTGACTTTGGAGGCCCTGAAAATGGAGTCCATACACTCCTGGAAGGAATATTTCAATGATGAACTCCACCAAGCCCTGAAGCCCTGGGCCATGCACACCTCTCCTTTTGATAAGGTCCAGGTTTGATGCTACCTGAGTACAGAGTATTAGATAGCTATGAAAATTTTGATGTTAAGTAAGTTAGACTTAATCAAGTCATTTGCATTTTAATACTTTTTAATTAAAAAATAGGAGAAAACATCAAAATGTTATTTGTAGTCATTTTTGGTGAACAGGACTCACAAATTTTCAAATGAGCCCAAACCAAGAAAATGTAAAATAGAAATGTCTATTTTTCATACAGATGGCTTCCAAATCTGTATAGACAGCCCTCATTTCTCTCCTGAATTCCAGTCATTAACTAACTTCCTACTTGTACATCTCTACTTAGATCTGTAATCTGCATCTCAAATGTAATCTATATAAAAACAGAACTCATTATTGTTACTCCCCAGACCCAAGCTAGCCTTTCTTCCTCCAAACATCCCTATTTCTGTTGAGGGCACCACCATTCACCCCACCACCCAGGTCTACAATTTTAGTCATCCTTGACTCTTGGCTCTCCCTTACCCTCCATATCCAATCCATTGACAAACCTTGTCCCGTCTACCTCCACACCCTCCTTTCCATCTATTCACATAGCCCCCATCCTGGTTCAGACCATTATCACCTCTTGGGGGACTCTGTAATAGCCTCCTCGTTGGTCCCCCTGCTACTCTCCTCTCTCCAATCTACTATCCATATAACTGTCAAAATAACTTTCTGGCTATTTCACTTCTCTGTCCAAAAAAGCTTCAGTGGTGCCCCATTGCTTCCAAGATAAAATGTAAATTCCTGAGCCATGCCTTTAAAAACTTCCACAATTTGTTTCAACCTACCTTTCCATATTCATTTCTCATTACTCCTTACACACTCAGCATTCCAGCTAAACTAAACTAAAAGTTCTGTTTTTCATCTTTGTGTATATGCCATCCCACATACTGGGGGCATTTCCAATGATCTTGATCTGTATCTTGCCACTGGACCCAGATGGCTCTGGAGGAGAAAGTGAAGCTGGTGACCTTGCACAGCCTTCCCTCGCTTAAATCCAATTCACTTGCAAGTCATGATGTCATGGTCCTCTTCTAGAATATAGGACAAACAACAACGATCCCACATTCCTGAAATAGACTTCCTTCTTATATCTCAAGAATCCCTATTTTCAACTCTGGAACCAGATGCCCCACCTCTCCTTCCCTCTACACACACACACACACACACACACACACGCACACACACACACACACACACACACACACATCACTTGCTAATACTGGTCTCCTTCTCAAATTTCCATATATAATATATGTACATACATATATAGTATATATATATACATATATATATGTATATGTTTCATTTCCTCCAAAATTAATGTATATGTATATATGTTAGTTTCATTTCCTCCAAAATTCTTCCATTTCCTCTGCCTTGAAGACAGAGATTTTCTCACTTTCTATCATTGTATCCCCAGTAGCTAACACAGTGCCTTACCTTATAGGTATGTTATCAATCAATAAACATTTATTAAGCACCTACTATGTTCCAAGCAATATAAATATTGCAGTTCTAACTTTGCTGTCAATAAACATGGGTGTGAATCTTAATTCTTCCCCTTATTCTCTCCTTAAACTTGGGCAAATCACAATCTTTCTATATTTCATTTTCATCTTTGAAGTAAGGAGGTTGGAAGATTCTTTCCAACCCTTAGGTTTCATAAAATAAATAGTTTATATGCTGACATAATTCAACTTGGCACTCATTCACACAATAGGTAGTGTTCAGGGTTGTGAGAGTCTGGTAGTTGACCTAAGCAACACCTCCTTTGAAAGTAGTATCCTTGGCTCTCAGCTCTTCTCCCAAACTGCATGCCAGGATTCAGCCAAAAAAGGAGTTCCACCACTGGTGACCCCTCGCCCCTAACCTATGTTCCTATTCTGGGGATCCCATGCCCCATTCACATCCTTGTCCCAAAGCACCCCTGTAGAAGGGGGAAAAGCCTGCAGTCCTATATTGTGTCACCATATTCAATGAAAAAAAAAAAGGAGCGTCCTTTCTCTCTCTCTCTCTCTCTCTCTCTCTCTCTCTCTCTCTCTCTCTCTCTCTCTCTCTCTCTCACACACACACACACACACACACACACACACAGAGTTCTGTATGCATTCAGTAATACCACAAAACTACACACTCCCTAACTGGACAGTCCACATTAGGGTGAGACATAGTCATCTTTGGATGCCCTTGTGTGTTTATTTGTGCTTCCCTGGGCAAAGGGTGGGGGGTGGGAATGAGAGACATCTCCTGGCTACATGGGGCCCCATATGGACACAAAACATTGTGTCCATGGAGAGAATTAGCTTAAGCTTAATAGTCTATTATTTTACTCCAGTTTGGGGTGTACATCTATTCTCAATCTCTTTGCATTTTTTTTTTGCTGTTAGACTGGTTACTTTCTTATTAATATATATATATATATACATATTTTTATATATACATAATTATATATACACATATACACTATATATACATGTGCACACACTATACTATGTATACATCTATGCCCATATACCATGTATACTACATATATATGTGTATATATATATATATATATATACATATATATATATATATCTCACATATACTATATACATATATGGACACACTGTATATAATATATATCTTTATATAGAAACATACACATATACATTCAATATATAACCTGGGTCTTCATGACATTGGCAAATCACCTGAGTTCCTATAGGATGTAGCCCCTTCCGGAATATCTGGAATAAAGCCAAATGCATGAAGGCATCCCAGGCTTATACATTTATCACTTTTTACTGGAGGTGGAGGTGGGTAGTAGGGGTCCTACCAAGTGATCATTGCCTTGACAGTTACAGCACACAATCAAAAAATACATACTTATTAAGCACCTATTATATGCCAGGCACTATACAAAGTCAAAAGAAACAGTCTAAACCCTCAAGGAATTTACATTCTAAGTGGGGAGATGATGTCAACATGACAGAGCATCCCTAAATCCTTAGTGTAGGATTTAATTCCTCCTAGTGCTATACAGCCTGCATGTAGGTATTTAGAAAACATATACCAAAGAGATTAAAGGCAACCTTGGGGTAGGGGGAGGGAAGATGCTAGCAGCTGAGGGGATCAGGAAAGGCTTAATATAAAGTTAGAGCATGAGCTGAATTTTGAAGTAAAGCGGGGGTTCCAAGAGGGAAGAAGGGAGGGAGGAGGGAGGTATGGAGAGCAGGTATGGAGGGCAGCAGAAGCACAGAGATGGGAGACAGAAGTGTGTGAGGAAGAGCAAGATAGCCAGCTTGGCTGTCTATGTGCAAGGAGGGAGGTAATGGCTGATAAGACAGGAAAAGAAGAATGGGGCCAGGTTGTGAAGATCTTTAAATGCCTAATGGAGGAAGTTTTATATTTGATCCTGTAGGTAATAGAGGACTACTGGAATTTATGGAGTAGGGGAGAGAAATAGCCAGAATTGTCATAAAGATTGACATTTTGATGGCTATTTGGAGTAGAGAATGATTTGGGGTGGGGAGAGCAATTAAGAGATTTTTCATAATCTAGGTGAGAGGAGATGTGGGCATTTAACAAGAGGGTGGCTGTATGAGCACAGAAAAGGGATCAATGATATGTGGAAGTTGTTGTTTGTTCT